GCACAAAGGCCAGTCTACCCAGATATGTAGGCCTCCTCTGTGCATGTATTGATATGAATCACAGTCCTGAATGTGCAGAGCACTGAACCATGTGATCCGACGAGTGTGTCGTCTGGCGAAAATACTTCAAGTATATAGATGAACGTCATACCCATGTTTACCTGGGTAGTGTCTGGGTCATTGTGTAGGAGGAACCATCCCATGCGGGACCTTCCATGAAGTTGATTTGTTACGGATACCTTGTTGACTGAGCTGTGATAGAACAATTTCTTGATGATTCGGAAAAGTTATTCCATGCTAGATGTTAGCGCTTTGCGAATTCGGGTCAGTGGGCTACTGCCTCAGGTATGTATGTTGTTCATCTCGTCTCACCATATCTCTCGTATCGGGAATGTATACATGGCGGAAGGACAAGGGTTTGTTTGAGGGACGAGGGTCGTTGATGGGATGGTGCTGACCGATGGGATTAATGTAAGTGTTGATGTGCCTGAGTTGTGTGTGTATTGTTTATTGCTGACAAATACACTAGGTGACTCGATTGAGTTGACAGGATTGTCATAACGGTTATCTTTGTTTGTAGTAGATAGGGTTGGTAATAAAGGAGATACACCTGTGTTATTTTGTTGGGAATGCCACTGGGCTTTCACAAAAATGTTTCAGTGGTCCTTTGGAATTTGAGTCTGCCGAACTCGGTGAAGGTCATTTTGCTTTGAACTAATAAGCAGTTGTAGTTCAGAAAGTTTGCCCTTCATTTTCGTGGAGATTGATAATGCCCTTTTCAATTTCATAATTCCCAGGTATATTTTATGCATCATGCTATGCGTTAGCATGTTGGTGTGTTCATATTTTTGCTGATTACTTTTGCGAAAGTAAATATATAACTGGCTTCTTATTATTTACATATCATGTTAGATTTGTTGAAAAATATGAGTTCTTTGTACTGAAGGTTAATTTAACAATCTCATTGCCACTCTAATACAAGGAATTCAGACCCTGGAAGGTTTCATAGAAGGAAGGATCTTTGATGGTAGTGCTGAATTGATGTGTCTGTGACTGGTCTGGTTGTGTTGATGTCATGCAAGCCTTGACTGGTCATGATGCACTAACTGCTACATCAAGGATTCAGGGGGCATAATGCGTACACCCTGGAAAGGGTAAACAAAGTCTCATTTCGATCTGTCTGTTTTGTGTCAGATTGATTTGAATTGTAATATTCATTAATTGCTGTCATCTGTATGGTTGTTGCTGACATGTTTTGTTTTAAGATGTTCCTCTTACTTATGTAGTTTATGAAATTAAGCATGAAAGTTGGGTGTCTCTAGTTTCAAATGTACGGTTGTCTTGTTGCCCAGTCGTCTACGGCCCTGCAATTCCCTGTGCAGAATTGTGCCCCTGGCTTGCCAGAAATATTTGATCATGGGTTCGAAGCTTGGTTCACCCAGATGATGTTTCTAGGTTTGTCAGCACCAAACCCGTGCTCATGGGTTTTCCAAAGGTGGTAAACGTCTGACACCTGCATCACTTCGGGCTTTCCTCCCTCATTAAGCTGACACGCGGTGATATAACTGGAATACTGTTCAAAGTGGCTTGAAACCCAACTCGCTCACTCACTCTCTTTCTCGAATACTGTCCCAGCTGATTCAACCCAGTGATTGTCTAGCTCAGATTTACAGAACTGTTAAAGCTGTCCTATCATTTACAATGGCATTAAACATGCATTGATTCACACAATAACTGCAAGTGTTAACTGCGCTTTAACAATGAAGCTACATTACAATGCTTCTGCCTGTTTACCCAGGTAATCAGTGTTTGTGGAGCTGCATATGTCTTTATTAGTCATCAATGATCCCAGATTGCAGGTTACATGCATGGCACAATACCCACTTGCCAATCACTATGGGTTGTAATTTCAATTCAATTGATTTCCTAATAAGCTCTCTTTCTGCTGTGTTACCATTTCCCAGCATTATTCTCACAGTAATGGACTATCCAGTCCTTTTCAATAATGAGAACAAATCGTAACAAAGGATGTTGGCAATATGATTGATTTTTGTTCTGTAAGGAGCTGTGTACACATCAGTGTTGCAATGATCAATGGATCAACTGCAAGAACAAGAATAATATTTCATCAGGAGGGTTACATAATGTGGCTATCAATAACGAGGTGGAAGAAGCAGGTTTGGTGGGGTATTCCAGACACTTCACAGATGGTGACAATTTTGTCTACAAGGACTTCTGATATTCTGGTGTTTTAGAATCAAGCGAAAGCATTAATTTGGAAAGTTTTCAGGACGGTGTATTATTGGATGCATGTTTGTTGGGTGTGTTTGTATGTGTAGTTCCATGAACATGTGAGTTTTGGGTATTTGTTCTCTATGGCTTTTCTCTGTGAGTCTTTTATTTAACATCTGACACACAACTATTTTCAGTGTGGAGTTGTATCCCTTGGCTGTCCAAGGATCTGCTATTCCTGAGTTTTCTTCCCAGGTTTGTCCGGATAATGATCTTTCGCGCTTGTGGTCAGTGTTTGAAATAAGTTCAAAACCCCAAAAGACAGCCTGGCAGGTGATCCATATGTGTTGCCTGTCCATTTTCAAAGTTACCTGCCTGCATTCAGACATTATAATATAAATATTGAAAAAGTGCAACAACAAAATTAAAGGCAAATCACGTCTTGATTCATTTGAAAAAATACAAACAATTACTTTGGAATCTACAAGAGGAATAATATTGAAAACTTAAAGAGTGTTAAAATTATCAAGAAAAGTTACCAGCCACGGGCATGCAGGCCGCCAGTTATCTGGACGCTACATGTGGTTGCATTAACGAATTATATGTCTACAACCTGCTTCATACCATGCTCACGTGAAACACCATGATATAAATTAAATATTGGTTATGAAACTCTGCTGGTCATGGGGTCTGTGTTGGTGACCTCCACGCCTTTGCCGCCAGTTGTTCCTTCCTTCCATCACATCCAATAACAAACACCTAAATATATGACTGCTGTGCTTTTTCATGCTCCTCGCAGTTTATCTCCTCCATCAAATCCAACTGAAGGTTCAAAACCTAATTGTAACACAATAATTTCCAAACTCTGTTATCAACTCGAATTGTTTCTCGTTTAAATGCACCGATAAGCGTCCTTTGAGCATAGCTGAGTGTTACTCGATGAAAGATCAAGGCAAGCTAATGAAGAAGATTCACTGATCTGATAAAGGCCCCATTAGTCTAATTAGGGACTTAGCTCCAGGCTAAAATGCCTCACATTGAGGGTGGCTCTGCCAGTGGTGGAATGTGGTCAGTTGATTACGCACATGAGATTGATCAGGGAAATTTGTCTTTATTTTAGATGACTAATAACATACAACCTAATTATTAATTAATCAGTGGTCCTGGACCACATACTGACAGCGCCAGATTGGTCAGTGCACAGTGCAGGTATTCATTACTTGTATGTACAGTACTGTGGTGGAAGGAGGGTCATGGTTGGACCATTTGGCTGGAAGATTGTTGAGGAAGGAGTAAGTGTGGGGTATTTCACTTCTGGTTTTGTGTGCAGGGTTGCAGTCATATTTTGGGGGGGTGGTGCCTTGGTTTGAAATAAGCTTTTTTCACTGGTCTGCAAAAATGATCTCATACACTGAACAGCCATGTACTTTGTGTATATATATATATATATATACACACACACACACACACACACACACACACACACACACACACACACACACACACACACACACACACACACACACACACACACTGGACCTTCCTGAATTTTTGTCCATGTCAAGGTTTTTCCTATTTACTGATGGTACATCAGTGGTGGAAATGTGAGTGACTGTTGGAATCTTTGAGAGTTTTCAAGGATAGAAATTGTCAGTAATCCTATGGTCCTTGCCAAACTGTCCAATAGTTAAGGTATCATAAGGACTAGTAGAAATTTTCCAATTTTAAGGGTTTTGCTATATGTTATTATTATGAGGACTAGTACACAATAAAATGTTAGTTTCAATTGCTGACTGTTTTCATGTTGACTTGGGTGATGTTTTTTGTATGAAATGTATCAGCTCTATTCACTTGGTTTGAGTTAGTCAATAACTGGTCATGGTAGTGTAACAAATATAGGGTAGAGGATGTAGAATGTTGTTTCGAGATGTCATACATTTTCCTTCCTTATTTTAGCAAGCATAAAGAATGTTATTTGATGTGTGCAGAATATGCTGTTTGAGGTCCAGCTATACACACAAGCTGTGTTGAGAAAATATGTATGTACAACCATAAACATAACCACCGTCCACAAGGACTTGTTTGTTTTTTAAATGTTATTTTGGGGGGTCATATCTCACACTTGTGACCTTTCACATTCCTGGCATTGTAACATTAACAAACGCTCAGGTAGAGTCCGATACCTGCATTTACACACAGCCCAGTCACTTTGCTGCTGAAGCTGCAGATTAGGGTGGTGTGTATTATCTGGAAGAGGATAGTCTGTGTTTGCTGGGATGAAGTTGCAGTTTGATGGGAGGCAGTGTTGAGGGCAGGTATTGCTTGACTGGGGTCACCCACAGTTGGTGCTTGTCTCACTGTGCAGTGTTTTGAATTTATTGGGTACTGGGGACCCTTGAGGTTTGAATCTAGGGACCCCCTAAATTTTTTGACTTCAGGGTTATGACAAGGACTCCTTGACCTTCATGTTTAATTTTGAACACTGCTTTGGATTTGATAGGCCATCGGCTCAGTTACTTCAGACAGAATATTGGAGATTATCATATGAAAGGTGCATTTCGATTTGATGACGTGAGAGCCCTTCATCTGTATTGAAAAATATGTCTCTAATAGTCATGTCAGCAAAACATTTTAGCTGTCATATTAATGAAGCTGAAAAACTTGACTGGTTTTGACTTTTCTGTCTCAGACCATCAGCTTTAGTTTGTTTTATGCTTCCCAACTACGACTGTGATAGTTAATGTGTTAATGTGTTGTTGTTGTTGCAGATGACGGAGGGTCGGAAGAGCCAGATCGTGCTGATGGACGAGCGGCGACTGGACATCATCATCCAGGTCAGTGTCAGCTAACAGTCTCACCTGGGGCATACCATGTCTCACCTGGGGCATACCATGTCTCACCTGGGGCATACCATGTCTCACCTGGGGATTCCATGTCTAACTTAGGGATACCATGTCTAACTTAGGGATACCATGTCTCACCTGGAGGTACCATGTCTCACCTGGGGATACCATGTCTCACCTTGGGATACCATGTCTCACCTGGAGGTACCATGACTCACCTGGAGGTACCATGACTCACCTGGAGGTACCATGTCTCACCTGGGGCATACCATGTCTCACCCAGAAACACATTGCCTGTCTTGCGGATACCATGTCGCACCTGGGAAGACCATGTGTCCCCTTGAGATACCATGTCTCACCTTGGGCATACCATGTCTCGACCGACCATGTCTCTCCCATGGATACAGTGTCTCCATGTTAGTGTTAGAATTGAAATTGAGATGAATTATTTTGTATTGATAGAAAATCTGATTCAGTTAAAGTTACCCTTTGTGCTGAACAGTTCCAGCCTTAGCTGTACTTCCTGGTTATAATGGCAATCAGCAGGAGTCATCACAATCAGCTCTTGTTGTCAGTGGTTATTGAACCAGACCAGTAATATGTTGGGGTTGTCATCTTCAGCTCCGTGAGGACTACTGCAAGTAATTGGGATTTTCTTAATGGAGGTCGGGGCCTAATTGCCTAAGGTGCCGAAATTCACAGTACAGAGTTGCATCCCTTGGGCACACCAGAGACCTATGATTGTGGGTTCGAATCCTGGTTCACCCTGATTATGTTTGTAATTTTGTCAGCACCATGCCCGTGCTCGTGGTTTTCACCAAGGTGGTCACATCTGAGACCTTCATCATTTCAGGCTTTCCTCCCACATTAAGCTGACATTCCTTGATTTAACTGGAATACTGTTCAAAGCGCTGTTGAAACCAACTCTCTCTCACTGACTTAAAACGAGTTTCACAAATGTCTCATTTTGTTTTGATTCAGTCAATCATCAATTAAGGACTTCTTAAGTTAATAAATTTTCTCTTTTTCTTTCTTTTTGTCCAATAAATATTTTTTGTTTTATGTTAAAAAATAGGAATGAGAATATTATGATTATTTTATGCATGGCATATGAAAAATAAATCTAAAATAAATCTAATTAATCTATTGACATGTAGATAGATAGAACTCGTTTAAACTTTGGACAGAGATTTTGCCGAAACTTTTCACTGTTAACTGTATTGTTGATAACTGTTCAGAGGGAGTGTTCAAAATAAGCACCTACTCGTAGTCCCTTGGCAGGTAGAACTCGAGTCGGGCCTGAGCTTCAGATTTGTAGGGGTCCTTATGGCCTGCAGTAACTTTGCGTGTCAGTTTTTTTGTCACAATAACCTGCAGTTTTTTTATTGAGGGCCTGAAGAGTTTAGTCAGGGCCTGCAGCTTCTAAAGTCTGTGGGTCCTGATGGCAGCCTGACAATTGTTTTGTTTCAAACACTGTTGAGAGGTACTGTGTATTCAAGATATATTCAGTTCCAGAAAGGACAAACTTAAAAAAACCTCTTTCAGAAGAAGAAAGATGTTACTTGCATGTGCAATAACAATGTGTACAACGTCTAAGACATTAGTAGATTGAGATCAAAGTATTCTTTCATATTTTAAAACCCCTGACATCCTGAAAACATATTCCGCGAAACAGTCCTTAAAAGCCTTTGTAAATTACATTCAGGTAAAAGTTCTGTAGAATGATGATTTCACGAAAAATATCAAGCAGGCGATGGACAAATCAGCACCTATTTACGAACCGAAGAAAAGTATGTAACAGCCCTTATTAACAATTTTTTGTTTCGAACATTCTTTCCAAGAACCTTAGAAAATGGGTCTAAAATATCACTTGCTGCGAACATGTACTTGAAAAAGAGTTTCTTGAAAGGAATTTTGTTTATCATCTCCCCTGTAGCCTTGTGGTTCAATCACTGAAGATACGGGTTAGAATAGCTCTTCAGCTAACCCTTGCTTGTGGCTGTTGCCTTGTGGCCTTGTGGTTCAATCACTGAAGATATGGGTTAGAATAGCTCTTCAGCTCACCCTTGCTTGTGGCTGTTGCCTTGTGGCCTTGTGGTTCAATCACTGAAGATATGGGTTAGAATAGCTCTTCAGCTCACCCTTGCTTGTGGTAAGAGGCAACTAACAGGATCGGGTGGTCAGGCTTGCTGACTTGGTTGATGCATGTCATCCATCCCAATTGCGTGGATCGATGCTCATGATATCAATCACTGGATCGTCTAGTCCAGACTTGATTATTTACAGACTGCCATCATGTAGCTGGAATATTGCTGAGTGCTGTGTTACAAAACAATCACAAGCCTCTAGAAACAAAGGTTGCAAGTTTGATTTACTGAAATATGAAGAAGACATTTGTCGTTTGATTTGCTATCATTCCACACATTTCCTTCTGTGGATTGTTTTCGAACATAAAATAAATCTCTGGCGAGGGACATTCACGTATAACAATATTACCGGAACTTGTTTCTCTGAAATCCTGAGATGTAACCTGATTGGAGAACAATAGGATGACATCACTGGGGATTTATCATGTCAGCTGGGTCACAAGTGTTTATTAGGTCAAAACAGACAGGGAAGTGTGTTGGACTCATCATAATTATGATGTCATGTCATTATCCCCATTGATTGGGTTGCTAGGAATCACATTAACATCCTCCCTTCAGTAGTTGTTGTCAAAGTGTTGGTGAAGGTGGCGGCGGAAGGGTGATGTCCTGCACGCAGTCGGTGCCTGACATGCTGTCGGCTCAAGTAGCTTCCTGTATATGTATACATATATACACAGTGTTTCTCCTGGAATTGGTCAGCTGAGTCGAAGGAGGAAGTCATGGGTTGTTGGGATTATTCTGTGAAAGAAAAAACTTCGGAACTCAGGGCTTGATTTAACGAATGAACTTAATTTAACATATACAAGGTGCATGTTGACGTGAAAACCTAGTGGTACCAGACAAGCACCCTGGTCCCTGGAATGTTTAAAAGTTTAAAACATAGGTTCATAAACTAGTCTAAATAAATAAAATCTCAAATCTCTGATGACTGTGTCATGATTTTACATAAATTAGTGAGGTATTGCTGTAAAACAAAAGAGGAACAAATGCCCAAAATATTGCAGTACCCTGTTTGAAGACTCAAAACATGACAAACACATAACACAGGGATTAATGAAGAATGTTGCATGGAGCTTAGAGGTATTGAGTGTGTTCAGAGATCAATGTTGTGTGGAAAAGTAAGGGTTAGTCAAAAACAAATTTAAAATGTTTTTACATGCATTTGTGCATAAAGACATACATATATTAGGGGTTGCACTTTTCAATTATTGGTTGCATTGCTGCTCGTTTCATGTAGTTCAATGGAAGTGTTTTGATGGTTTTATGTATATGCAGAGCACGTGGCATGTTTAGACTAATTATGGAAATTGTTGGACAGGAAACCATGTCATCTAGATCTGACGTTGCTGGTTCTGTGTGTTATCCGATATACAGTAACTGGAGTTGGTCATGCGCATTTGGGTGATCTTTTTATGAAATTACATTCAACTTTCTCTGTAATATACGTTCTGAATTTCTGATACAACGTAATTATGAATGCCAGGATGTAAAATAATATTTTTCGGAGAAAAGGTTAATATCGGTATTAGGTCAGACCAATGAAATTACTTGTGTTACAGTCCCTCCGTCACATTTTAGTCCTGTTTCACCCACAAGATATGTAGATGAAAAAACCCAATTAGCCCCTCTAGATGAAGTCTAAGTGAGTGAGTGAGTGGCGATTACTTTGTGTTGTATCAGCAGTTTCACAGCTCTTCATGACAGAAGGTCATTTCTTAGAGTTACGGACTTGTGGCCATAACTAAACTTGTTATAATGAGCACCAACTTTCATTCACTTCTGTGTTGCAATGGATGTTTGTTTGCCTGGGTACAATGTGCAAAGCCCATTTCTGGTGTCCCCTTCCGTGATATTGCTAGAATAACGACTTAAAACACACTCACTCATTTCTGTTTTCATTGACTATGGTTGTGTAATGATACTGAAGCTGGAGTTAAATTGATTGTGAAATCTTTCTTTGACACCATCTAAAATCATCCAGTTTGATGTAAGACTTGCTTCAGTTTGTTTTATTACATTATTTTCCTGGTGAAATCTGAATTTGCTGTCTTTATGTTCATTACAGTGTAAAGCTATATAAAGTACACCTCTGGCATTTCCCTGGTAACTGAGATTTAATGTTGCTTCTGACATTTGAAATTTAAACGTATATTTCTGAATCACATTTATCAGATATCAAGTCTATTGCACAGTGTGATGTGTGCAGTTGTGATTGGTTTTGTTTGTTGGTAAATGTTCTTGTCACACCACTAGTTGTCGTTATAACGTCCTTGTAGCACCACGAGTTTGTTGGTAAATGTTCTTGTCATACCACTAGTTGTCATTATAACGTCCTTGTAGCACCACAAGTTTGTTGGTAAATGTTCTTGTCACACCACTAGTTGTCGTTATAACGTCCTTGTAGCACCACAAGTTTGTTGGTAAATGTTCTTGTCATACCACTAGTTGTCGGTAAAAGGTCCTTGTAGCACCACTAGTTGTCATTATAACGTCCTTGTAGCACCACTAGTTGTGGGATCCACGGATACTGTCAAGGTTACATACCAGTAAATACTTTCACTGCAACATGTGCAGAATAATAATCATGATCATTTATCACCCAAGTTAAACATATGTAAGAATGATTCATGATCTTGTACTTGTGTGGCCCTGTGCATCACAGCAAGCTCCTAGCGAGGCAATAATGAATATTATCAACCATCTGTTCTTCTGTTGTACACAGCCTGATACCAGGGCAGGGTGCCAGCCACTAGACTACTATAACCAAAGCCCTGTTTAATCAAGTTGCAGAAAAACACTGCACATCTACACTGCACTGAATTAATTCCCAGTACACTTTCCACATGGACTGCCCTGTCAAACTGGCGCTTATCTGTAGATATAGATGGTGAATTATTGCTGCAGTTAAAAAAACATTATGAACTTTACCAAATGTAAACAAGTTTTGGCTTGGGTTGAATTTAACTGTTTTTATGTTGTGGCAAAGGTATCAAAGAAATTGTTGAATAAACCCGAATATTATTCTCATGAACTCTACCGATAAGCTTGTGAAGCTTTTTCATGAAGGTGGGATGAATTACTTCCCTTTGTATGGAAAGGTGCCAATGAGTAGATGGTTGTCAGAGTTCTTTGATCTGTGTTTCAGGAGGAGACCTGGATATTTATATTTGTTGAAATAGAAATTATAGATCAATATTTTACTGTAATGACAATTATTTATTTTATTCAGGTGAAGGTTTCATAGTGATAGTTTTCATCTTTGGTTATTCACCTCAGCCTCCTGTGGGAACTTCAGCTGACACTTAGTCTCTAAATATATATAGTTTTGATTAAAACAAGCAACTACATTTAAATTGAAAAGGAGCCAGATTAAGATGAGAGAGCCAGAACCTGTGGAAAATCTGAACATGCTTCATATATCATTACAGTTAAGGCAGGGCAGAAGGGAAAATAATATGGTTTGGGGACTGCGAGACAGACTAGTGGAAACCCAGGTTAACCACAACCTCCTGTGGGGATCCAGGTTAACCTCAACCCCCTGTGGGACCCAGGTTAACCTCGACCCACTGAGGGCACCCTGCTTAACCTCAACCCCCTGTGGGACTCAGTTTAACCTCAACCCCCTGAGGGCACCCTGCTTAACCTCAACCTCCTGTGGGGACCAAGGTTAACCTCAACCTCCTGTGGGACATAGGTTAACCTCAACCCCTGTGGGATGCAGGTTAACCTCAACCCCCTGCGGTATATAACAGGACCAATAAAGAAGGAGAGGCTTTAATTCTTAGTTTTACACTATTGCACAGAATGCAATGTCAAACTGCTATGTTAAAATGCCTCTGAATATAAGAAAATGATTTTTTCCCTCAATTTGAATGACAAAGGCCCTTTAGGTCTTCAGCAACCCATGCTTGCCGTAAAAGGCGACTATGCTTGTTGTAAGAGGCGACTAACGGGATCGGGTGATCAGGCTCGCTGACTTGGTTGATGCAGGTCATCGATCCCAATTGCGTTGATCGATGATCATGATATCAATCACTGGATTGTCTGGTCCAGACTCGATTATTTACAGACCGCCGTCATATAGCTAGAATATTGCTGAGTGCGGTGTAAAACAACCAACCAACCAACCAACCAACCTTTTTTCTTAATCCTTGATAGGTTCTTGCATATAGTTAACTTGTTTGTTCATATATGTGTACCTCTCGTTTCAGCCGAAGTTGTTCACCCGAGAACTGTTAGATCTGGTCTCATCTCACTTCAAGTTGAAAGAGAAACAGTACTTTGGTCTCGCCTTTGTTGATGACACGTGAGTACATCATCATCATCTCAAATATATCACAATACGTTTATCATTGACTGAGCACTTTTAGTGCAATATTCCCTAGGGATGTCGTGATACAGGTGTCACTTGATACGATACATATCTCGATTCAGAAGCCACTATACGATACGGTACGTATCTTGATACTACATATTTGTCATTTTGTGAGGAAAGCCCAGTCATTAGATTGCGAATATGTACTTGCTCATTAATGTAAAGAAGGACAGCTGACTATTACGCATCAACATGACACTTAGTCAAGTCAACTTTTCTGTTTGAGAAAATAGTAAACAAACAAATTTTCATACTGTATTATGACAGGCAGCAAGGAAAAGCTGGTCTTGTTATCGAGTCGGTTTCGTATCCGAAAAACAAGCTTGAAAGTTATGAGGAATTAAAAAAATAGTTTGAATTTGCATATTGATATCGATGCAAGATCAACAAAGACAATCACTATGGGGCTAAATGTGAATCGATGCCAAATTAAATGTAATGGGTATCATATTGTGCAAAGTTTGCCGACAGTGAACCAGTGTACCATCCCTAATATTCACTGCAGTAGAGTTCATGTATGTGATGCTTGCATTTGATCAGTATATAGTAAGATCTTAAAGAAATATTGGTACGCAAGCTGAACGTTTTTGAAATTTTTCAGTCCTTTTTGTAATGTAACTCAAAATTAATTGATATTTACGATCCTTACACTAATTCACAACTCCTGTACTTGAGTATAGACTTACGACAAGCATAGCGCCAAGATCACTTTGTGGAACAGGGCTCAGGAACTTATTCTCAACAGTGCAGTGTTTAAAACTTCGACAGATTTAGCTGTGTGTTGGTATCGATTAGTGATGGGTTACAAATATATAATTGGCCTGACTTTCGTATTGCAATATAATGCAATACATACCACAATATATTCATGAGTTCTTTCATCTGTAATTTGTTATAAACCTATATAAAACCAATATGATATAGGAGTTCCCCTGCACATTTTTGACAGCTTCGTTTTCTTCAGCCATTTTGATATTTTGCTATGGTCACAAGCATGAGTAATAGATGTGTTATTTACACGAAACTGGTCACAAGTAGTTTAACTTTTTCCGATCACAAGAATAAGTTGCTAATTTCTGAATTTCATAATTCCAGTTGAACTTGTAACATGTGTAAACTTTGCTAACAAGATTAATATTATGCATGATTTTGGAAACACAGTATACCAGTATTTTCCAAAGGTATTGTGATGCATATTTATTAGTATTTCAAGTCTTGATATACCAGTATATCAGTAATACCGCACACCTCTTGTGTTGATATGGTTGAATGTTCCCATGCCGAATGTGGCAAGCTTCATGATCACTTCCTTTGATGAGTGTTGAGAAAATCTGGTTTAATGGGAGATAACTCCAATAGCCTTGTGTGGAATGGTGCATGGAAAGGTAGGGCGGCTTTTGTCAGATGAAGGAGAGCTGTGCATTATTCATCTCTTATGCATGACAGCCTCTGAAGTTAGGCATCCAATCAGTCACTTTTGTCAGATTCTATCTTAAGATCTATCTTGAGTGAAAACTGTGCATTAAAGTTGCTTCACATTATATTGGGAATGCCAATGTGTTGAGCGTACATCAGTTTATAAGGCCGACGTGGTGATACTGATGGAAAACATCTCTGATTTCTATTTATTGGTTTAATTTTTTTAATCTGACAGTTCTTGAAAAAAAACCCACTAAAATGGACAAGCATATTCAGGTTGAATTAATTGCGTTACATAGCTATATTGATCTGTTGCACTTAGCAATATGACTGTGGTCTGTAAATAATCGAGTCTGTATCAGACAATCCAGTGATTGACATCATGACCTTGATCCATGCATTTGGGATACGATGACATGCAACCAAGTCAGCGAGCCGAGCCACCCGATCCCGACCACCCAATCCTGTTAGTCGCCTTTTAGGAACAAGCATAGTCACCTTTTACGGCAAGCATGGGTTGACATATTCTCTCCCCGGATATTCGGGGGTCATATGGCCTTTTAATGAATATTGACTGATACACTACTTGTTCAAATTGTACCCTATGTTCATTTAGAAAGTTGGACATGAGGGCATGTGTTTATCATGGATGTCTCGTGTGGTGGTGATAGGGTTGAGCGGGTTTGTTTAGACTCCGAGCCGGCTATTGAGGGAGAGGCTATTGAGGGAGAGACGTTGACTTGTGACAGGTAAACACAGCGTGGGGGTGGGATGGGTTTATGACAGACCACCAGGTAAATATTTACTGCGTTGTGGAAACTAGATTTGGGCTATATTTGATATGTAGGATGTCGCTGGGTGAGGATGGGCCTGGTATGTGGGTGGTTGGGTGGGGTGGGGGTGGGGGTGGGGGGCAGGTGGAAAGGGGGTCAGTGTATTTATTGCTGGCCTGATGGAGTAGGGCATGAAGGAGACAGTGAGTCAGTCGTGTAACTCATGTGTGCCTGATTTTGAAACTCTCATGGTGACCAAGCTTGCTGGAATTGAGGGCTTATGTCATGAGGATTGTTGGAATTTATTAATGAGAGTATTGCCCTTCCAAAATATGTCAAGTGTTGTGATTTATAGCAACTTGTCAGGCTTTTGGGAGCCATGCTTTACCGCGCTATAACTGAAGCGCTCAATAACGAGGGAACACTGTACATAACAACTTGTAATGTGTGTGAAAAGTCGTACATAAATACGCTATTTGAAGGGGGCGTGGCCTAAATGCAAATGTTCGATTGGGATTTTAAATTTTCCGGACCCCTGTTGTCAGCTGTAGTTTCATTTCTAGATTTGGAGCGGTGGGCGAGACTGAGTGCTTTAAATGTTAAATCTTTAATGTTTTTTTTTTATTTCACTCGTTTCATTCAATAAGTCAGATGTTATCATTTACAGTATTGTTGAAGGAAAGTACAATTTTCCTGCTGAATTTTTACCTATACCATATTCGATGTAATAAGTGCCCGGGGCGCTCTCAAAATTAGAAATAGCGGCTCTTATTACAATATAATTTTGGTAAGAAAAAAAAACAGTGTTGAAAGATCGTAAACTTCGTGGTTTATGCTGACAGCCTGAAATGATACAAATGAAAATTATGTGCGCATCATACACGACAGATATAATTTCCAGAATTTAATTGCCCATAATTAAGGGTGCATATAACACATGATTGCGTATTATACACAAATAAATAAGTCTAGTGTGCATTGATCAATCGGAAGGGGTGCTAATTGGGATTATTCACTAGCCAATATATTAGCAAATATAGCCGTGGGCCCTTATTAGAGCGGGGCACTTATTATGTCGAATATGGTAATTACAGTTATCCAGGATATTAATCAAGCTATGTGTAATTATTTATGATAACTGCTGATTTTGTGTTCATGAATTTTAAAATACTTTTGAAATAGTTCAATATTTAATCTTCAGTATGCCACAGTAGTGTATAGATCATCAGATCAGTTAAGATGGGGAGAGAATGTTGTTTTACATCACAGTTGGCAATATGTAGGTTATATGACAGCAGCCTGCAAATAATAGAATCTTGGACAGGCAAACTGGTGGTTGACAGCATGAGCATCAGCACACAATCACACGTCACACATTGTAACTGACTGATCAGCAAGCCCCTGCTCAGGTCTCGGTTGATCAGGTATGCATGGTGTCCCTGGGATGCATATTGACCTGAAACATCCACTGGACCAATTAGCCTCACCTGATGATGTAGAGACACACCCGACAAAAGCCTTCTAGTTCCCCGGATACCCTTTACATCTGCCAAACTCATTCAGGCTAGCGGGGCTAGTGCCAGTTTGCATCCGTGCTTGTGAATGTTGGGCGCAACATGAGATTACCATGTACTTGTTCTATAATATTATTACTAGTAGTGGGACGATACACCGATGCATCGGAGTAAATGATATCAGTCCTTACCTTAAATGTTGCTTTAATTACTGTTACACCAAACACTAATTTGTTGTGAAAATATTTACATCCATTGATTCATGTTTGACACTGCCAAATGTAAATCATCAGTGTGCCAAGTATTTGGCCTTCTTGTATATGGAAAAGATGGCTTACGCACCACATATAAGAGCACATGCAACTGCAAGTATCGTGATACGTTTCGGATTGTGAGCAAGGTATCGTGATATCTATTGGATCGTACAGTTGATGTATCGTCCCAGCCCTTATTTCTGTATTAGTGACACAGGTGTAAGCTGGAGAGGAAGAAAGAGACCACTGTTTGATAAGCCTGAATATTCAGGTCGAGAACACTACTACAGTTTTGTGGAGTGGTGTGCAAGCTGGTTGTGTCTCTAACTGAGGTGGGAATGTAGCAGGACAAATATTGACAAGGCCTTTGCCAGAAGCCCCAGGTGATGATGGGAGCTTCACTGATAGATGTTCACATAGGAAACTTAAGTTTGTGAAGGATGAACATTTTGAATTTTAAATTTTAAAGTGTTTATTTAACATCAGATCTGTTGAAGCATGTCTATGTTTAAGGCTGATGTTTAAGCCCAGTGGTTAATGTGTTCGCTCATCATGATGACCTGATGACCAACAGCTATTCAGGTCTGGCATTGCAGGCAGGGCATTTTGCTGTGGTAGACACTCATCCAAGTTCTATAATACAATGACGTTCATGGAAACCTCATGAGATGCTCACATATCCTCTACACCTCCAAACCAGGTTCAAACGTAGTTTCTGACCATAATGTGAGGTGAGGTGAAACTGGGTTTAACGTCGCATCCAAGATTATTGCACTTACACAGTATACTGACTCAGTTAATGTTGTGAGTGACTGATTGACAAGTTCAGCCTCTTTATAATTTGACTGAATAGAGTAGGTGTCTAAGGTGCCTCAATTTGTTTTTAAGAGTTGCATCCCTTGGGTATGCCAGAAACCAATGGTCATGGGTTCGAATCCAAGAATCACCTTGATTAAATGTCGGGGTTTGTC